TTACTATAATACGCTTTCCCTTTTTATCCACACTTCGTAAAATCTTTGGTCTGGATTGGGCTTTTGAAAGCCCAGGGCTAACCCCAGAGCTTTAGGAGTGTTTCACAGGCCCAGAGCTTTGAGGCTGACCTGATACAGAAATGAATAGGAAATGTGTGTCATGGGCATCATGCTGTCTGTGATGCTCTGTGTTGCTGGGAGGTGCAGGGAGGGAACAGACCTTGAACATCGGGACTAGTGTCTGAGGCAAGGAAAGATTGGAGATTACTCCTTATCTGCACTTAAGCACTTGCACAGGGGCCAGTCATGACCTATTGTAGCTTAAGCCTGTCCTAAGAAGGATATCCAGTCCTAAAATAGTAGAGGTTTGGACCCTGATGATACAGTCTCTTCTACCTGAACCTTTTTTCTTCCTTTCTCAGCATAGGGCTGGCAGGAGCAGAACAGACCTTCTGCCTTTGACACTGTCTGGGGTTTCAAGACCTCCTCCTCTGTGGTTCTGCCTGTTATTTTTTTCCCACAGGTTGATGCTTCCTATTTTGTCACACCCAAAGCTGCACAGAACCATCTTGAACTAGTCTGTGAGAAAAGTTTCCTCTGTCTTTCCTCCTGGAAGTCTGTATATTGCAGAGCAGGCATGCCAAGTCCAGCTGAGCTACGCGTGTCCTGCATCTCTCTGGGGGCACGAAGGCAGTGAGGTGATATGTCTTAATTTACTCATGGAACAGCTCTATGGAAATACTTTCCTATAAAGCTTAAAACCAGCATTCATACAGTGAATGATTTTGCATGAAGCCAAGCGGTTCCAGCTAGGGTACATTTTTATTTCCCTGCTTACAAGCCTGTTACCATTTATTTGTTGTTGAATATGACCTGTTGTGGAAGAGAGAGATTAATTCACTGACTATCTTAAATGCAGTCTCTTGCTAACAGGCAGGTTTAGACTAAATCCTGGCATGAGCAAATAGAGAGGTTTCCTTCCTTACTTTTCTTACTTTTCTAGATCACTTCAGAGCCACTGTGCTATCAAACAGTGCAAGCTCACTTATAAAATCAGGGCCGACCAAGAATAAACAAAAATATTTTTTCATCTTAACAATTCTGCCAGACTGCCCCCCTGCACAAGATCTTACCGGCTAGCAGCTAAGACGACTTAGAAGGCGAGGTATAGATGTCACAAACTGCTTGGATTTTTCAGTAGTGTGGGATGAGCCTTCGTGGTCTGTTATTGTGCAGTTGCCGTCTGTCTACTCGTCTTTGAGTAATGCATTAGTCTTTCAGTCTGTAAATAAACTTGTGAGCAGGGAGCACAGGATAATTTCCTTTTCAGTCCTGCAAATTTTGAATTGTACTTCCTTGATGTAAAAGGGCAGCCCTTCAAGAAACTTGTGTATGTGAGTGTGGGGGGGGAGGAGGAGAGGCAAAGAGGACTTCCCCAGCTCCAGGGTGTTTCTATTCAATTCTCCTTCCACAGCCTGTGAAACTTTTGTTCCTAAGCAACAGCAATGCTAGGTCCTTGGAGATCATTAGCATAATGTCTGGTTCCAGCATGCAAGCTCAAGCTGGAGGGAAAAGAACTGAACGACATGCAGTGCCTGGAAATGTTAGACTTCAAATTATGCAGAAAGAAAAAGCATCTGGACCTAGTTAGAAGCTGTTCATCAGCTTCTAATGTTGCCTTAACTGTCCATTTTAGTCATTTGGCTATTTCATTTTACTTGGCTGTAACACAGTGTCAGATACTTTCGTGTGTGTGTGTGTGTTAAAACTCGACATTTGTGATACCATCCTTAGCGCATGCCAGATCAGATAGATATGGATGCAGGCAGAAAGGCTTATTCAGCGGTACAGCAGAGAGAATATGAGCTGCAGTTTATATTCATCTATGTCAGACCCTTCAAGAGTGTAGTTGGTACAATTTGTCTTTGTAGCATGTGAATTTACTGGAATTTGTCTCTGTGACTAGGGCTACTGAGCTCAAACTTTTAGTAACCAATTGTAATAATTTCAAAATAGTGTCTGGAAAAAAAGAACTATGGATGAGAAATAGCTGTGTGTTTTGTAGCAGGTATTGTTCACAGGAGATGCAACACTGAGGTTCCTCTCTTGCTGATAAGGGGTCTGGGATATTATTGGCATAAAGAGGCTGATGACATTGATGTGCTTGCCTGATTCCATGATTGGAGATTGCATTCTGCTCACCTCAACAAATTCATTAAATTTTCTTGATGTTTTTCTTCTGTGACCTGAAGTGTACCTGGGTGCAGCGCTTCTGTGGTGGAACTGTTATCCCTTTAAGCCTGTGAATACACATGGTGCAAACAGTATTCTGTAAATGAGAGAGATTCCTTTGCCCCTCCCTAACCCATTTAATACAGCCTACTTCAAGAAGCCCTACTTTAATATTATGCTTTTTTATAAATTTTGTATTATATCTCTATTCTTTGAGCACAGAGTAAGAATACCGAGGAGGTGGACTGGTACAATCAAACAAGGAGGGCCCTGTGCCTTTCTTCTACAGTAATCTATCCTAACACGTTTCTGAGGTTTGAAAGAGACTTGATTGTTTTACAGGGAAAACTGACATTCCTGTTACGTCTTCTTTCCTCTTTTAGTAGTATGACTTGGACCTAGGTTGTGGCTTACAAGGAAGGGGATTTTCCTCACAATATTTTTGGTAATTGCAAAGATCCTTTAAGAAAAGTGGTTTTAGGAGAGCCTCGGCACTGTTTTTCAGGCTTAAGAAGTCTGAGGGACAGAAGACAAAAAGAAAATGAAAGCAGCTTTGTGAAATTGAAGAACCCAATTAAGTTTATTGGAATTTTAGTATTAATTTCAGTGGGGGCAAAACCTTATCCTTTTGAGATTATCTCATCTGCAATGAATCTCCAAATGGGTTGAGGTCCACCTGTCTCTAGCAAATGGAGAGCACTGGCTATCACGAGAGTGAGATCATAGCCTGATGTTAATGGAAGAGGGATTAATAAATCACTTATGCATAGTGTAGCCAAAGGTGGCTCATCATTAGTACACATCATGCTTAGATTCTGCTGTGGCTAGTGCCCTACAAATACCGTAGATTTAGATATAGATAGATATGTAGGTACTTCTCTTGACTTCATATAACTTAACCCCCTCTTGAAGTTTAGTTATTTACATTTATAAAACACTCTGTTTCTCTTTCAAACTAGCCTTTGATTATTTATTTATTTTTAAATAAAATAAATTTGGTTGCATAGCTGCAGTTGATCTACTTTGAGCTTTTGCTCTGTTGGCTTGTGAGGTGCTGGCTGGAGGAATGCTGATTAATTACCAAGGAGAAAGGAGGAATAGGCTTGAGCTGCCTGTAAGGCAATTCATGTTCTGAGCCCCCCGGAGTCAACAAGGGAGAATGCAGTATTCCAGATCTCTGGGGACTTAGAGGGAGCATCCTGCCTGGTCCTCTGAGACCCAGGATGACTTTTACAGGGGAGCAACTACATTTAGTCTTGCATATTTTGATGATGTGGTGAACTCATCAAACTCCTTTGAGTTACATAGTGGCTTCCAAAGTCAGCAGAGAGAGGTTGTTTTGACCCTTGTAGAGTCCTTATTAGCTGTTTAGGGCTTCTGAAAAGCAAAGCAAGAGTTCCACTAGAGGGTCATGGCACTCACAAGTCAACATATATTATGCATATTTGCATAACATAGACTGGCCCAGTTTAGTCCTGTGTATAGTACTTTAGTTCCCCTATAATGCTCCCACTTTAAAATGTTGGAGGACTGATGGATTGAGCAAGTTTGTGTGTTACATAACCCCCTGCTTTCTAACTCTGCCATAAATCCAAAATAAACCTGGGCAGTTTTAGTGAGCGTCTGCCCCTGTAGAAAGAGAAGAACCTAACCTGATCCCTCTGTGACACACACCCTAATCCAACCACGCTTCAAATAATGCCAGGAATCCTGATCCTGTTCCATCCCTTTAAGATCCTCTCTCTGAGTTACAAATGTCTGTTGGAGACCTTACAAAGGCCAGTGGGGCAGAGCTCTGTGAAATCTATATATAGTGCGAGAGGGCTTAATTGTAAAGAGTAAACGCTTATAATATCTGTTCTACTTCAGAATTCCTACATTCTTGAGCAATATGTGGCTCAAACTGGGGGTGCAGTATCACTGTAACATTAGTCAATGGACTTTCTCCTGATTTATACTGTGTAAATTAGACCATCTTATCTATTATTTTTTTGGACAAAGAGTAAAGATCTTATTTTCCCATATCAGATATGAACTACACCTTTTTGTGTTGCCTGTTTTCTATAAATATAGCATGTCATTGTTAGGTTTCATGTGCTTAGCAGGAGAACTAAACAAAGCTTAGGAGTTGTAGACCATGAGCTAAAATTGGGCCTTTGTTTCATGTTTCTTCATGGAATAGGTTATTACTTAGGCTATGCAAAATTCGTCCCTCAAATACACACTTTTCTCTGAAGATAGTGTCTAAGAAAAGAACAAAATACTGTGTTGAGTGAAATGTAGTGGTTTTCCTTTATGTACACTATTAACTGGTCCAGGAGTGAATAGGCAGTAAAATAATGATTAATAATCATGACAGATAGTTTACAAGGATTTACTACTGCAAATTCAATAAAACTGTAATGATCGTAGACCATTCTGGTGTTTTATTTAGATCTTTGAGGCTGCTTTAAGCCTAGCTTTGTGGATTTCTGGTGTGATCCAATACAGAGCACAAGAGTGCAAAATAGTGGCTAGTTATTCCTGTAGAAGTTTTACAATCTATGGCTGAACTGATTTCCTTGCACTTTGAGAAGTTAGTAATCCTGTCTCTGAGCTGGCACTTTAGGATTAAAGTTGTACACTCAAAGGGGAAAGCATCTCCTACCACCAGTTATATCATGTCACGTCAGTAACCCTGTTTATTTTGGCAGATCAGAAGTTTCTTTAATCCAGAAGCTGTCACTTGTCTCAGTTTGATCTCTAGGAATTGACAAGAGCAAGTCTATGGCCTTCAGATAGTGACACGCCTTCTAGTTCAGTATAGTTGAAATGTTACTTTTGTTTGCTCAGAACCTTTGACCCTTGCACGTTTTTAGGTGAATTCCCATATTTAGAATCTGCCTTCAGCTGGTTTGTTTTTTGTTTAAAGTTCCATTAAAAAGTTGCATTTTGGGAACAAAGAAAGTGGAAAAAACATATTTAATCTATTACTTTTAAAAAATTATAAAAATGAAAACCCATTTTTAAGGACTGCATTAGTTTCCAAGTGTTTTGTGCAAAAAATATCTGTGATATGGAGACTGACACACCTCTGTTTTCATGCTAGTATTTTCAGAATAGAAACAGACAGTCTTAATGGTACCTATCACTAGCACTCTAACTCTACAGTGGGATGAGGTTGCGATAACAGACTGATTAGCAGTGTGGCTTAGCTCAGAACAGCTGAGGAGGATGGTGTCCTCAGCTGTCCATCTGCCTCTGCTGCAGGGGCATCTTCTCTGCCTGTGAGTCAGCTTCTGAATTCTTGCAGTTTACCATGTGGCATCACTGCTGCAGTTTGCAGTGGTATAAGGCAAACAGAATCCATACTTAGCACTGCCACCCTACTTCATGCTTTTTTTTCTTTATTAAATACCATACTTTAAGCGGCACTTCATTCAGGAGCAGACTGGCAAGTAGCTTAGGGAGAGTCAGCATGTCATTGGGAGAGTGACTGACAGTGATAAATTCATCAGCTATCTGAAGCTAGGCCATGCCTGTTCATCAGACAGAGCCTTCCTTTCTAATGAAAGCAGTAATGAAATTTGTATGGTGCAGCACTAACCTAACCAATAACACTCTGATTTTGGAATTATTTGGTCAATGATGAAACCTCAACATTCTTCCAGTCTTGGTGTTCTCTTGTTTCTGTGGGATGAGACCAGGGGGCACAGGGAGCACAGATGTTAATGTATTGACTTTCTCTTACTGTTCTGAAGCAGGTTATTTCAATTGAATGTTTGTTCCTTACAGGAAACACTCAGGAGGAGAAAAGACAATGCTTCAGAAGTGGCAGGTAAGCTAAATCTTGGCTGCACGCAGTTAAGTGAAGAATTTCAGCACCTGTCTGCGTGTCCGTGCACAGATATGTGTGTATGTATGTACTTCAAGGCCTAAGCTGTTCTCTCGCTGCTGGAGGTGAGGTTATTGGCAAGAGGAGCAGAGTATTTACATCCGGCTATTGCAGAGGTTTTGGCTTCCTGCTGTGAAACATACAGTGCTACTGGCTGGCAGATTAAGTGTGATTTTTATGCACATTTTTAAACTGAGACCAAAGAGAGCCACCTAGTTGAATGACTGTTCACAGATCATCTGTACATCTAAATCAGTGCACCTCTTGTTTTCCTAGATGTTTTCTGAGCTGAGATGCATTTACTTGCACGTACTCCTGATCTTGGTGATCCAAGACACATTGAAGAAATCTGTATCATCTTGTTTACATGTAGTGCTTCGTGCAGTCTTTTCTGTACAGGTAGTTCTCCAGGATTTTCCAATACACAGATTGCATGCATTTGGCTCAGTTTAAATTGGGGAAAAAGTGATCCGTTATGCAAATACAGCATAAAAACAATGGGTGATTATAGACAAATGCAAATGGCCTGCCTGAAGAAGAGCCAGAATGAAAACTCAGATTCTGTTGAATGGATTGTTATATAAGAGATTTTGTGCTGATCTGAATGGCAATGGGTCTTTGATTACACTATTTATAATTCTCGTCCTGGTGGACCTGGGAACCACAGGGCTCTGAGGGTCCCTTTGAGGCATGGTCTTCAGGGGTGGAGTTAGGAGATTTTAATGCTTGTTTCCTTTCCCTGGCAGAAAAGGGAGATCAGCAACTTTGATTACCTCATGTACCTGAACACATTGGCTGGCCGCAGCTATAATGATTACATGCAATATCCTGTGTTTCCATGGGTCCTCGCTGACTATCACTCCAAGGTCAGTACTTGCTGCAGCATTCTATGCTTTCTATGACAGCAACCATACAAAGGTTTGTTGACTGATGCAATTGAAGCAGAGAGGTCTAAACCAAGTGTTCAAAAGTTGGGATAGTTAATTTGAATTGTACTGATTCTTTATAGATTAGCCTTATTTTCAAATCACCATGCTCAAGATCATGTTCTGCCTCAGAAAGGTAGATGAACATCTGTCAAATACATTCATAGGTAAGGGCAGGCTGCATCAACTCAGCAGGTAGCCAGGGACAGGCTTCTGTGACCCCTTACATAGAGGTTTGGACAGAAAAGCCTTGAGAGCAATTTGCAACTTGCCAGGTTCCTTATTTGTGAAGCTCTTTGTACATGCTATCG